AATGACCCCCAATCACTGAATCGTGGAACTCATGAACCATCCGAGCAATGGAAGGGAAATTCGCCACCAGGACCAACCGGTTTTTAAAGAACAATAAGCCATTTTTTAGCGAATAGCCCTCCAGAAGCTCACCGTCCTCAAGTCTAGAAATGGTCGTGGCCCACTCCTCTGTGCGCTGCTCCAAACGAATGGCCTCCAAATCCCCAGCCTGAGGCATGGTGAAGGCACAAAGAGAAGCGTCTGGCCAGTCACCCCGCCTAGACAGCGCGTCAACCACCTTATTGGCTACTCCCATCTTGTATTGGACCTCAAAGTCATGGTCGAATAACTTATACACCCACCACAGCTGGTCGGGAGGTAGTTGGCGCTGCCCCATGAGATACCGTAGACTTTGCTGATCCGTACGGACTATAAAATGCCGCCCCAATAACTAGTGTCTCCATTTTTGGATAGCCAACACCACCCCCATAAGCTCCCTTTCGTAGACAGATTTTATGCGGGATGCTGGGGCGAGCGCCCTGCTGAAAAACGCAAGCGGCCTGTCTTCTTGCATCAAAACCGCCCCCAAGCCTTCTCCAGAAGCGTATGTTTCCAGCACAAAGGTTTTATTGAAATCCGGCATTGCTAATACCGGAATTTGAGTCATGGTAGCCTTCAACGCTTCAAATGCGTGGTCAGCCGCGTCGGACCTCACAAAGCCCTTCTTTGTGAGCAGCTCCGTCAGGAGCCTCGCTAGGATACCATAGCCCTTAACAAACCTCCTGTAATATCTCGTTAACCCTAGGAAACCACGTACCTCTTTGACGTTCCGCAGGGGGGGCCATGCTGTGATAGCCTAAAATCTTAGAAGGGTCAGCCGTGACCCCCTGTGCTAAAATGAGGTGGCCTAAGTACTCCAACTGCCGCTGCCCGAAACTGCACTTTTTCTTGTTAGCGAACAGCTTCTCACTCTGCAGGACCCCAAAGACAGCGGCCAAATGTTGGCGATGGTCCTCCCACGTACGTCTGTACACCAAAATATCATCAAAAAATACCAAAACGAACTTCCTGAGGTAAGGCCAAAAGATCCTATTCATGAGGGCTTGGAAAGTGACTGGAGCATTCGTCAACCCGAAGGGCATGATGAGGAACTCGTAGTGGCCCTCATGAGTCCGAAAAGCTGTCTTATCTACATCTGCTTCATGCACCCGAATCTGGTGGTAACTTGCCCGCAAATCCAACTTAGAAAACACCACAACCTCGTGTAGCTCATCCAGCAACTCATCAATCAAAGGGATGGGAAACTTATCTGGAATTGTGACTTGGTTGAGCGCGTGGTAGTCCACGCAGAATCGCCAGTTGCCGTCCTTTGTTTTAACCAAAATGACTGGGCTCGAGTAGGGGCTGCTGCTCGGTTGAATGATGCCCGAAGACAACATATCTGTCACCAAGCGTTCTATTTCTCCCTTCTGTACCTGTGGATATCTATAGGGCCTAACATTCGGGGGATTGGCCCCCTCCCTCAAGACTATCCTGTGATCCCGTTCCCTGTGAGGGGGCAGCTCTGTAGGGCTTTGGAAAACCCCTTCAAAATCGCACACCACAGCCCTCACCTCTTCAGGAACCTCTATGGTGCCTTCGTCCCCTCCCCGCACCGAAAGTTTGCACACTTCCACCAACACCCTAGCTCCTTTTGGAGACAATGTCCTCACTAGCGAACTCAACTTCACCGGGGCATAGCACAGGCTGGGGTCACCTCGCCAGGTTACCCATGTTGGTCTAGCTCGAAATTTCAAAAGGAACTTAGACCAATCAGCCCTTACTTCCCCGAGAGTGCTCAACCATGTCCCCCGCCCCACCCAAATCAAAAGGGAAAAAGTCCTCCTCGACCCTATGCCCCTGGATCCATACCCGAACCGCCTTACATACTCCCCGTTGCTTAAAACTAAGCCCGTTGCCCACCAAGATGTTGTAACTTACCGTGGGGATCCATCGGCAGTTTCAGCTCCCTTGCTACCGTTCCCGAGATGAAACTGTGCGTAGCCCCACTGTCCACCAGCACCACCACTTCTCGGCCACCGATTCTTCCCTGCAGCTTGAGTGTATTGGAGGAAGACAGTCCTCGTAGGGAGTTCAGAGACAGATCCATCTTGTCTTCCAGGCTCCCTTTTTCCAACTCCTCCTCCAGAAGATGCTCCTGAACGGCACCATCCTCCTCCTCGGATGCTCCCTCTGTGTCTGCCAAAATCAGCACTTAAAGTTGCCGGTTCTTACAACGGTGCCCGGGGCTGAACTTCTCGTCGCACCTGAAGCACAAGCCGTGAGCTCGTCGTTGCTGGATCTCCTCCTCCGTGAGGCAGCGGGAAGACGAAGCTCCCCTTGTCGCCGAGTTCTGCCCTGTGCCCATCCCTCCTCGTACCCCATATACCCCCACCGCTTCATTGGGACCCTTGGATCGAATGGGGCTCGCCTGGGAGAACAAGGTAGGATCCGTGCCTTGAGTTAGGCCCCCAGCTCGTTCCCACGAGTCCGCCCTAAGCCCACGACCCGCCCGGTACCTCGTTACTCTCTCAGCTGCTTCATTGCGGGCCTCAACTTGCTGGGCCAAGTCCATCATATCATGTAAGGTAATGGGCCTGTGCATTTTCAACTCAACCCGTATATCTTCCCTAAGCCCATGAAGGAACGCCCCTCTGAAGATGGCATCGGGCACGCCCCGCATCTGAGCCGCCGTTCCCTCGAACTCATCCCAGTAATCCGCCACCGTACCGCACTACCGGAGAGCCATGAGTTGCTCCACTGGGTCGACCTCCCTTCCCCGACCAAATATTTGCAGCACCGCCGCCCGCAGCTCTCTCCACGATCCGAACGGGTCTTGAGCGTCGGCCCATTGGAACCAACCCAGTGCTCGTCCCTCCATGCACACCGACACCGCCACCACTTGCTCTTCCTCCTCTACATGGTTGACGACAAAATACCTGTCCACCCGGAATACCCATCCCTGAGGATCCTCACCGTTGAATATGGGTAGCTCTAGCTTCCGACCGCAGTGCTCCACTTGGCCCCTTGGGCCTGGGGGCGATTCCCGCCGCCACTCACGCCCGACTCGCCGGGGTTCCTCCTCGCGTGGGACTGGGAGAGGTGTCACCGGTCGAACTTGTGGTACCGGCCGTCGTACCTCCTGCATCCTTGGCGGAACCGCTTCAAATCTTGGAGGAGGTGGTGGATTCCTCTGGAAGAACTCCACCTGCCGGTGGAGCATCGCTTCCAGTCGCCGTACCGATCCTTGCACGTCACCCAGTTGAGCCCCAATCTCCGTCACATCTTCCTGCAACTGTGGCAGAGGTTCAGTCAAGGCTTTGACACTCTATAACACCTCGTAGAATGAATCCATCCTCTGCTCCAGCCTAGTTACCTCCTCCGTCTGAGGAAAGCACACCCGAGTTTTCTCCCATGGATCATCACGCTCTGATACCAAATTGTTAGGATCCTGCTTAAACTTAGATCTAGACAACCGAAAATGGAGGCAACTCGTAAATGAGTTTAGCTTCTTTTATTGAATTTACTCACTCTCAATCTGGAGAGGAGCTTTCTTACACTGATCAAGCAACAAAAAAGAAAAAGAAAGATAGCAGAAATAACAATGGAGAATTCAAGGTTCTCCTTCCTCCCAAGGACTGCTAACAGGATTTCCCAAATCAACAAACAACCATCCCGTTCCCCCCTCCTTCCTAGATATGCTCTCCCAGGCTAACAAATTCCTAACCAACTTGCCACATCAGCTCTCCTGCCCAGTATTTTCCATATTTCCATTTCCCACCCCCTTGTCTTGAACTATTGCCCCACGCCCTTTTCTCCTAGAATAAACTTTTTGCATCATCCGGACAGTCCCATCAAGAACTTGAATATTCTCTTCTTTTCCATGATCTCTCTGAACCATTTTGCATCATCCGGACAGTCCCACTTAGAATCCTCAAACACGTCTAGTTGTTGCTAATGACGGGTGAGGATATTGTAGAATTTGGTGACAGAAAGATCTCCTTTTCGAAGGTCATGGAGTGTGGTCTCGATCTCGAAAATTACTAAGGTATTCTCCTTGCTCGAGTAAAATTCTTTAGCAGCATCCAATATTTCAGGCGCAGTGCTATAGAGTAAAAAATTCTCACCTATTTCATTGGTCATTGAATTTACCAACCATGACATGACCATATTGTTTTTTGTTTTCCAGAGTCTAAATTTGGGATCTCCTTCCTTTGGAGGGATGATCTCGCCTGTGAGATATTCCTCCTTCCCTTTTCCGCATATGTACATCATAACGGACTTCGACCATTGAAGATAATTGTTCCCATTCAGTTTGTGCCCTGTAATAGGAAGATGAACGCCTTCTGCAACACCATAGGTGTTGGTGTTCGAGACTTCAGTGCCTGAAGTGACTTCGGATGACGACCCCATTTGCTTCTCAGTGGCCATTCCGTATTTGGTCATCAGAGAGAATTTTTGGAAGGCTCTGTGACCATGTGGATAATTGAGAAAGAACTGGAATTTTTCTCATTGAATATTGAGTAGCTATTACACGTTTAAATAGGAGGAAGGAGCAAACCGCTTCCTCAAATCAAGGAACTAACAAAGGAAACAATACCACTAATCTAGGAAAGATAAAAACAGAAAACAAATCAAATGAGAGGATCAAGTAAGTCAGCACCCGAATCCCTTTATTTTAGGAAACAAAAAACTAACTCAATCCTAGTAATTAATCCCTAGGAATTGAAAAACCGAATTTCCACAATTTGTTATTAATTTGATCTTGGTTTATAAAGCATTGGTGTCTATGTGACGGTTTTCCAATATTGTTTTTGTGCTCAAATCTTGTCTCAAGGTACTCTTCCATTTACCTCAGATAATTTCCAGGAAAAAAAAAAGAAAGAGATCTTAGAACATTGATAAATAAAATATATGCACATGTATATCTCACGAACATTTCGCTAATATTCTTATGTCTTTCTTTTCCCTATGTTCTGAAGGGCTGGTTATGTATCAGAAAGTGAAGCAGATGATGAAGCAGCAACAGTGACCATGGCTAGTGATCTCGGCAGGGTTAATCGAGCTTCTACAAAAAGTGCTGTCAAGCTTCAAGAGATTGGAGCTAGAATGACTCTTCAGCTCATCAAGGTTGAAGAAGGATTGTGTTCGGGTGGAGTAATATTCAGTGAATATGGTACATTGACTCAAAATTAGCTTTTTCCCTCCTCAATTTCTGTTCTTTTGTAGAGAGCTAGGAGAAACATGACATAAATGATATAGCGTGCAAATTTGATCTTGTCTTTCTATAATTTCCGTCTAACAGCCTTTTTCCTGTCGTACAGCTATCATGTCTTCTTGCTGCTTATATACATTTCAAATTTGCAGCCCCGTGACTTTTGTTCTTGTTTCTTGCTGTCGCTGGAATTTAATTACCTCTTACTTCTCCAGTATTTTTTTTTTTCCTTTTTGATTACCTCTTAATTCTCCAGTATTTTTTTTTTTCCTGCTTTTGAAGGAAATGGTGACGGGAAGAAAAAGGAAGACAAACAGGAAGAACACAAGGATGAGGAAGACAGTGATGAAGATGAGCAGGCAAATAGTGAAGATGGCCATGAAGATGGCGAAGAAGGTGAAGATGAAGATAGTGAAGAGGATTTTGCCGACATCGAGGAAGACTAGTGACTGAGAGTTGAATGGATGCTTACTATGCTTATGAGGTCATATGTGATATTAAAGAATTTGAGTTGCTTTACTCTGAATCATATGTGAGAAGTTTATTTAAAATGGTACTTCTTGTTATAGTTGATTTTTTTTTTTCTTTATTGTGAGGGCCAGGGGTTGAATGGCGGTAGTTCCACAAGAAACTAAGATGGATAAATATGGTCGAATTGAATGTTAGAACAATAAAAGCTTTCAAGAAATACCTTTTGCGCCGAAAGCATTCCTTGCCTCCAATTCATGGACTAGTTGTAAAAGAAGAAGCATTTCTAGCGAATCCTCAAAGCAGTCTCTAGTATTTCTTAAGGTCTTGTGGTCAGTCTGTCGATTTATTTGTGTTCTTCGCTTCTCTGTGTTTATCCCCCACCCACACACACACACACACAACACACAAAACTCCAAAATTCCATGGGGCGATTCTATCAAATTGAAGGAAAATCAATACAGGCACAGAGTTCATTCTTGCTACAAGAAATGAAACACAAATTTGTCACTGATGCTACAAGGAACACACTGGTAAAGATCAACGGATGAGAGTTACCTATAAAAGTGAATATTAGACAGCCGAAGCAACCAAACGCCGATAAATCGAGGGTAAATTGACACAGATGAGTACACTACTTTTGATCGTAGAGGTACTCTTGGTAGTAGTTCGCATTGTAGTACTGTCTGCGTGTTGGCCTGTTGCCTATTTTGCAATTTGCATCTTCGACGAACATCTAGGGCTATTAACAGCTTAAAACGGTAGATTATTACAAAAGACGCCTAATCATTAACAAAACAATGTTGTTGTTTTCATATCTTAATGTTTCAGGTCAAATAACTTTCTCATATACTGCCACCTGCCAAAGAATTGTTTTTGTAAACAATTTATTAGAATCAAGTTTATTTGGTGCACCATCCAGAGAATTGTTTTTGTAAACAATTTATTTGAATCAAGTTTATTTGGTGCACCATCAAGTCCCTCATCCAAGAAATCTAACGCGGGGTAGTTGGTGACTTTTTATGATCAGAAAACAAGGAGTTTAAATGGTAAAATTAGAAACCAGAGCATGATTGGAGAAAATTCCTCTCCCAAGCTCTCTCTGATCGTAGAAGATTCCAATGAATTAAGACATTAATTTACTCCTGCTAAACTGTGTATAGAATAATCAAGTTCCAATTTGTTTCAAAGGAAAAGTATTTGGTAAAAAGGAAAAGTATTTGGTAAAAGATTCATTAGAGAATCCTATTAAATTGAGAAAAAACCACATCACGACTCCATAATATCTGCACTTTATTATGTCTGGACAGTGAATTTTCCCCAATCACATGGGAGAAATTTGTAGGAAATTTAACATTCATAGGGTCTTTTCCGATTTTCTGAAAATAGAGAGTAACTGCCTAAAAATGGAAGGGAGGGATTTTGAAATTATCCTCGTGTATACATTAGCAAATATTTTTCTTTTTATCTACCAAAGTACTTTTCAATAATATGTTAATTATATGGCTACGGAAATACGATAAACTTGGACAATTGTCAAGCAATGATGGGAAAAATTCACTGTTGTTGATAATCTGCACCAAATTAGTAATCCTCCATGCATGTTACATTTATAACTTTAAAAACTGAACCAAATTAGCTATATATTGTTGCTTATAAAACTTACTGACAATTTGGCTTTCAAATATTTGATATTCCACAAGAAATTAAAATACATAAACATGGTCGAATTGAAAGGTTGTACAAATCATCAGCTTTCAAGAATTCCCTTCTGCAGCAAGAACATTTATTGGCATAACATTATGGACTAAATCTAAAACATAAAGCATTTCTATCGATTTCTCAACTGGCCTTCAGTATTCCTCCCAAGGGATGCAAATAAATTGAGGGGGAAAAAAAAAAAAAAAAAAAAAGACCATAGAGCTCATTCTTACTACAAAAAAGCAAAACAAAATAAAACATAAAATTCCCCCCTCCAAACGGGAAACACACCATAAGGACCAAACTGGTCCTCATACAGACTTCTTAAGAAGCTCTTCTGATGGAACCTCCAATGTTGCTCCTGCATGCTCTTTACCCGGCTTCATTTCTGCGGCAATCAACGTCGGTATGTATAACTTGGTGCTTACCATCAATGAAATTACCAGCCCAAAAAAGAAAAATCTTACGGAAATTAAAAGTGTTTTCACTTCACATGAAAGAGAGAGAAAAGAGAAAACGAGGAGTGTTTCTCCATCCTATTATCGTGTGTTTATTACAAAATTGTGAGTAGCAGTTTGGTTTGGCCCTCACAATCTAAGGAATGTCAATTCCTACATGCTTGAATCAAGCAGCTTGATATTGATTACCGGTTAAAGAAAATAAATGTCAAATTTATAAGTACTGTACATGTTATAAGCCAAATAACTTGATCATTATTTAATTATATAAAAAGATATTTTAACAATTATATGGATAAAATCCATATATATATATATATATATTTTTTTTTTTTAAGATTCACATTTCTAAGTTTAGTAAATACTAGCACGAGAGTTGAATCATTTCTTATTATTTCATAAACACTAAAAAATAAATCAATGTACTCCATCCTTATTACTTCGTAATTCATATCCCAATATCTATAAAAAATTTTGCACATCAAGTATCCAAAAGCTATACTTTTTTCCCCCTTTCCTATTCCCCCCAAAAAAAAAACAAAAAAAAAAAAAAAAAAAAAAAAAAAACTCCACAGGCATTTTAACAAACAGATTGAACGCTACCGAACAAAAACCTCCACCCGTCAAGATCAGAGCAAGATATATGAAATGCGATTGAGGAATTCGGATGGGAAGGAGAAGGAAATAATACCGTAACCGCCGCGAGAGTTGAGCTTGGCCTGGACGATCATGTTGGTGATGAAATGAGAGGCCTCGCGTGCCTCTTCGAGGTGTCTCTGAACATCCTCCTCCGACGTCATCTGCCGATTCTCTTCGAATTTCCGGCGGATCTCGGCGGCTGACTGCGTCAGCATGAACGAATCTCCGGCGAAGGTCTTCCTCGTCGCTCTTAGAAGCGCTCTGTACGCGCTCAGTGCCTCCACTCTCCCCATTCTGGTGATTCGTTTCGGTGCTTCGGCTGTTCTCTTCTTCTTTAGGCAAAAGTATATTGTAGTGTAGTGTACACTTAAACGCTGCGTTTTCATACGAGCCCGTGTTCTGTGTTCCGCGCGTTCCTGCAGAACACAGTATTGTATTATATGATAGTTGTATTTATATACACATATATTATATAGTGTTGTATTATATAATAGATATAAAATTTGTATAAACATATTTACACAGATATATATAGTATTATTATTTATAATATATATATATAGATTGTATAAAATAAAATACAATGTTGTTGTGTTTTTTGAGCATTTCCTTTGTTTCAGCTGCAAATATAAAAATGAGAAAAATATTTGTAAATATAAGTGTTAAAAAAATTAAAGATGTTTAAAATCTATAATATGAAATAAATATTATAAAAATATTTGTATTATCTTGTTTTTGGATGTTTTCCAGACTGTCTTGTTGTTCTTGATTCAGGGCTATAAAAATGGAATAATTTTTAAATATATATTTAAATTAGTTGATAATATTTGTTGTGTTGAACGTGCCTTGCCTTGTACCAGGTTTCTTAGGTGTCGGAGTGTGTGGATCAAATGTGGCTGGTGTTGATAGTTGTGATGTTGGTATTAGTTGTGGGCTGAAAAAGGATAAGATTTTTAAAAGTATAATCAAAATTATATAAATATTTTTTATGTATAGTTGATAAAAGATAAAAAAAAAAAAAAAAACATTATTTACCTTTGTAGATCTTCTGTTCCTATAGTTAACTGTTTTGGTGGCAATGATGGAACATGGATGTCTTCAAATATTTTGGAAATTATTGTGTTCATTTAGGTGCCTCGTTGTTGAAAGAAGATTTGGAAGATTTTTTATTGCCCTCGAATCTGATCAATAGTTGGTGGTATTATAAATGGATTGGTAAAGCCTTCGTCAATTATTAATGCAAAACATAGTTTTTTTATTAATGCCTGAGCGGTTCTGCCAAAAGCGATAACCTACATGTCTCCAGTGTAATCTTCAATTTGGATTATTAATCTATACCTGTAAAATACATATAAATATTTTTTTAATGTTATAAAATATTTTTTTAAATTAATAAAGGTATATAGTAAATAAAAATAATTTTATAATAAGTGTAATTACCATGGAGATGGTGTTGACTTTATGTGGCCATGACTGTCGCACCACCAACCTATTCTTGCTTATTTTAGTTGTCGATAACACTTGGGGCAAGAATTGTAGAACCATCCTTGAGATGTTAAAAAGTTTACTATGGTTGCTCTTACAGTGAATTTTCCACCCTGAATAAGAAGTAAAACATTGTGGTTTTAAATTTTTTACTAAGTGTAGTAAAAAAAAAAAAAAAGAAAGTTAATAGTACTAACCAAATTATTTTTTGCGTCCAATGTTTTGAGTTCATTTATTGTTCTTCTATTTGCTGATATTTGTTTTTTAATTGTTTGGATTGGTGTTTTTGGCGGTGGTAGGAATTCAATTTGTTGACTTTATGGGAAAATCTGTATATATAAAAATACAAATAAGTTAAGGAAAATATAAATAAAATTTGTAAATATGTAATATGATAAATTTATTTTAAAATATTATATATGTATATATATATATATATACCTTGTCTTTAACGTTGTTATTTTTGAAATATCAATATGATAAATTTATTTTAAAATATTATATATGTATATATATATATATACCTTGTCTTTAACGTTGTTATTTTTGAAATATTTGGGTCAATATAGAAAATTGTTGTTGATGTACTTGAAACATATGAGTTACCTAAAAATATAACAGAGTAATAAATAAATGTATGCTATAGTTTTTACCTATGTGTATAAAATTATTATAATAAAGCAATGTTAAAAATACCTAGATATTGTTTCACCAACATTGCTGAGAAAACTGCCACAACTGGTGCTTGAAGTGTTTTAAGAACATTCTCATCAATTGATCAACTTTATGTTCCCATAGGCTTACTTGTAGTTGTTCATTTCTGTTGAAAAAATGTAATCCATAAAAATGATTAATAAAATTGATTCAAAAAAGTGAAAAAATATTGTATTTACATTAAATAGTTTTAATGAATAATAAATGCGATAAAAAAGGCATAAATTTACTATACCTGATATTTTGTATCATTATAGATCGCCGTGTTGTTGGTCTATTGTTGACATTTGTATGCTCAATTGCTTGGACACTTGTTAATACTCCAGTAACATCTAATATTATATATAAACAGGAAAATTTTGTAAATAAATATTCAAGAAATAATTATAATAATACTAAAATAAGTTAACATGTATTACCTATTAATATCTCAGTATTATTTATTCTTTGATATAGCTGATCAAATTCTATGAAGTAGAATTTGTGAAATAGGATATATGGTACATTGTCCATAATAGGAGTAAAGGATGTTGCTCGTGCAAATTGGATCATAGCACTGTGTGGAACGACTTTGAATGTTGATTTACTTTCAGTAACATAAAAATTACTAATATTGTATATATTGCCTTGTTCAATTTTTTGAGAAATGAAGTCCGAATCACGTGCTCGAATCGTTCCCTGTATTGCCTCACGCTGTAAATAAATAATGAAGATAAATAGTTATTCAATATTAATAAATATTATATAAAATAATATGTAATATAATATCTTAAAATTTTAGTACCTCTTCATCAACCAGGATACAGTCAAGGCTTATCAGACGTCCTGTGACAAAATCGTTGTTTGTCCATATTCTGCATACTTGTGCTTTTATTGTTTCATACACTTCATTTGGCTTTAGTGCACGAATCGGTGTTGTCATTTTGTGTAAGTCCTGAAAGAAGCAAATAAGATTTTGTTATAATAATAAAATTTTCTATTGAATTCATGGTTAAAAATTTTGTACTAAAAAAATTTTAATATTACAAAGAATATAGTATAGTATATATTTTTAATGTATTTATTTATGTGATATTATGTAAAATTTATGCATGCATCTATTATGTGTTCTTTTGTTCCTGTAGGTAAAACAGGTAAGATTTGTCAAAAATCACCTCCTAAAATAACTGTCATTCCACCAAATGGTTGATCAAAATTGTTTCGTAAATCCTGGATTGTTTTATCTAGTGCTTCAAAATAATATTTATTAGTCATAGGTGCTTCATCTCATAAAATTAATGATGTTTTTTCAATTAAATGTGCTAATTGAGTTCCCTTTTTTATATGACATGTTAAAAATTTATCTATTGACAGTGGTATTCAAAATCTAGAATGTGCAGTTCTTCCTTTAGGCAATAATAATGATGCTATTCCTGAAGATGCGACAGCAAGAATTATTTCATTATTGGATCTAATCTTTGTTATAATTGTATTCCACAAATATGTTTTTTCAGTTCCTCCATGGCCATAAATAAAAAATAAATTGTTCTGTTTATCAATAACAGAATCTAAAATTTTTTAGTAAATAACACGTTGTTCATTGTTTAAATTATGTACTAATAAAGAGTTTTTTATTTTTAATTTATTTATGTCATAATTAAGTTCCTCTCTTAAAAGTTTATTGTTTAAATCATTTATTAGTGAACCAGTAGGAAGTGGTAGATTAAACTGAGCTTTGATGAATTTAGATTTAATAATTTTTCTAGTTCATATAATATAAAGTTATATAATTCATTTTCAAGTATTTCAAAATATGGGTTGTTAAAAAAAATTTTAATTTTATGTAAGATATCATCAGTCATAAGTTTCTAATTTTTTTGAAGTAATTTCAATGGGTTATTTACATTGCAAAATAACAATATAATAACAAATAGATGTCGTAATTGTAACGATGTATACCAAAAAGATGCCTCTAATATAGATTGTTCCCATTCTCTATCATCTCCTAATAAACTTAATGCATAACATGCAACCTGATATGTTCTATGTGTTATGTTATCAATAGTTCAAACAGTTTCATAGCTTGTTATTCCTTTTCGATGATTTAGTAATAATTTTAAATAATACAATTCTCCAAAGTTTGGATGAATATAATATGATCGGCCTATTGTATGTCATATTTGTTTAGGAGACCAATATTTATACCTACTATTCTAAACATATTTAGTTAGAAATTCATTATAAGTTAGATTTCTAGCATTGATATCACTTTTGTTTATTTCCATCCATTCTGTCATAGTAGTTTTATGAATATTTGGTTGTTTCATTATATCAATAAGATGTTGGTTTGACATGAATGTTATGTTTTGTATTTTTGGTAAATGTATTGATAGATGTTGAATGGTTTTCAACATAAAAATTTGTACAAATCCATTTTCTTCGATATATGTGATGACGGGTATTTTTACCAACAAATCAAGTACTTTTAAGCTTGAATATTTGTAAGTTTTTAAGCATTTTTGTTAGTTTAATGTCTTTTGTTTGCTTTTATAGGAATTATAAATAAATGCGAACTCGGATGATTTTGCATGAAGAAAAGAAGAATATTTACCCAACTTGTGAATCAATGCCAAGAGGAGGCTTGGAATGCAAGGAAGCGGGCTGCAGCGCACCCTTTTAGGCTACAACGCGCAAAGGAATACAAAGAAGTCCAGAGAGCAAGGGAAGCGCAGGCTGCAGCGCACCAAAGTGGGCTGCAGCGCACTAAAACGTGCCCAGCTCTAAAAATGCGCGCTGCAGCGCACCAGAGGGGCTGCAGTGCGCCCAAAACATGCCCAGAGGCTGGACACGCGCTGCAGCGTGCCCAAGGGGCGCTGCAGCGCGCCAAAAGGGCCCAGGAATGTGTCCTACACGCTGCAGCTCACCCAAAGGCGCTGCAGCGCGTCTCAGCCCCCTGCGAGCAAAATCGCTCTTCCAAAAATGCGCGCCACATCGCGTTTTCACGCGAGCTGCAGCGCGCGACTGAATCCCTAGCTCTGAAATGTTGTAGTATAAAAGGAAAGAGATGCCATTTGGAAGGGGGGCCCGGAAATCTGAAGAAAACATCAAAAGGAGGCCGAAATCCTTCATCTTGGAGGTCTTTGGAAGCTTTTCAATGGATATTGGGTTTTATCTTTTTTCATCTATTTTTCCATGTTGAGCTAGACATTAAATCTAGGACTTTATGT